AATGCACCTATCTCCTTTCCCTGTTAGGATATTTTAAACCTAAACAGATTTAATGCATATAAACTACTGTCATGCATTCAAGCAATTAAAAACTCACAATATTAATGAAATCAAATTATTGTGCCGTTGAAACATTTTCAAGCAATTAGCATTGCTATAAACTTTTATTAACATGCACAGCAAAAATATCTTACCATCACACCTTCAGCACAGTAAGCAGCTTGGTCACTAAACATACCTCAACAAGACTATATGACACATTAACACCAATATGACATACGCCAAGTATATTACCATAAAAAATTGCAATCTTTGCCAATTAATTTAAACAAAGCACCAAGCCTTAATCCCTAAGTTCCAAATAACTAACATGCAAATAAATTCTCATCATTCATGTGCCAAATGATATAGTAACCTCCTCCAATTTCAAAATACAACTTCCCCTATTTTAAATTAAATTTGTCGCCAAAACAAATGCATGAACTGCTAATAAACCAAAACTAGCCACTTCATATTGTAACGAAGCTATGCTTTCAAAGTCATTGAATAACAATTTCATATTCCCTAGTAAAGCCTTTTAAAAAGTCACTATTACAATAAATGAATAACACCAACAAAATACCAAAGTCATATCTGATATAACCATGAAAATAGTAAACCAAAACTCAAAATGTTCACAGTTAAAGTAAATTAACTCCTTTAAGCAATGAATCAGAGCCCTCCCTGATTCACCCTTAAGAAGTAGCAATCAAGATCCGAGCTTCTCAAGGTTCAAATCAAGGTCCACAAGGCTTTCAAGCAGTAACTTTAATCCAGTTGAGACCTTTCGGAACCACGTTAGAGAAGCTGTACTGGACACCATTGAAGCACTAGTGCACTGGTCACACTAATAGTGATATGTCCATTATCTCTACACAAAATTCTTCTACTACCATCAGTGTTCATGCAATGAATTTCAACAACTATGTGGTGCCTCTTAAGTCTTAAGTAACTCCAGATTTTGGGACAAATTTGATATAATTGGTGTTTTTTATTTTCACCATTGCCCATTTTAGCATATGCTTTGTGCTCACATGCATGCACCATAATACTTGATTTTGTTACATTGAAACTCATTGCTTCACACCAGCCCTCATGTCCATGTTCTGTTCCCATTTTCATAAATAACAAAACATATATGCTTAGAAATAAAATTGATTTATTACAAAATCAATCAACCTTTATATTAACATTGCAGAGATAGCTTCCTGCAATTAAATCATAACTCCGATCCATTTCCTTTCAAAGACAATTAATATTATCCAAAAAAAACAATTTAAGATTTACCTCTAGTAAATATGTTATCCTCACCCATAATGTTCCTTTTTCATCCCTAAGAAAATCAACACCAAGCTAAGGCGAGAAGCATTTTGGATTTCTAAAATACATATGAAAATTAAATAAAACAAAATCATAAGATAAATTTATCTCATTCCTATTGTTGAATGGAGTACTAGTGGAGAAAAATCAATAGGCTAAAATATATAGCTCTTAAGGTTATTGGCAAAAGCAAGTAAAATCATGGTTTGAATTATGCCCAAAGATATTGTCTTTAAGAACTATCATGTCACATCGAGTTAATCACGTGGTAGCTCCTCAAGATTAAACAGATTATTCTTGTAAAAATTAATAGGGCACAGAATAATAAAGACTAATATAATATACTCAGCCAACACAAATTTGAAATCTTAAGAGTCAAGCATTGGATACACTGCACTTCTTGAACTATATATAGACACGAACTAGATGTCAGATGAAGCCTTCATCACAATTGAATTGTGAGTTTTATAAACACAATAGCATGTTATTGTAATTCGTTCCATTGGTTTTGAACATTTTCAACTTTTCCACTTGAAGACAATTAAAAAAATCAGTTTCAAGCTTTAATTGGAAATAATGTATAGTTAAAGCACATTAAGCAAATCCGTGGAAAGAAATTTGAACATGGAAACCATAGGACTTCTAGGAAAGCATGATTACAAAATTAATTTAATAATTTTGCAAAACAAAATTCAGTAAATTAGGGGTGTTCAATTTAAACCCATCCTGATTGGCCCGATATCATCCCGATCATATCGGGACGGGTCTTGTCCCGGCCTAAAAATAATCGGGACGGGAATTTACGGGACGGGACAGGAAAGGGGTTCGGGACGGGACGGGACATGGGATTACCATCGAGACGTCCGTCCCGTCCCGAATATTATATATATTATTTTTTATTTTAAATATATTAATTATATTAATATAATTTATACTTATATTAATTATAACAATTATAATTTTAATACTTATAATTTTTATTTAAAACTAAAGTGTTTTTATATTGATAATTTTAATGACATGGAGTAAACATGGCGATATCTTTTTTATAATATATTAATTATATTAATATAATTTATTCTTATATCTATCTGTTTAATAATTTTTATTTATAATATATTTCTTGCTTATTTTTAGAAGAGTAATTAGCTTAGTACATCTTCACTAAAGTAGAAGAATAATTATTTGATGTTGTGTTTGACTTGCCTGTTGTTGCTAATCTTATAGCATAAAGATCACTTGTATTTTTTATTATAATATGTAGTTGTGATTAATATAATTCAATAATTGATTTTAAATTATTGTTATTTATGTACTTGTGTTATTTTGATTTTAAACTTGATAAATTATATAATTTAAAATTTTAATGAACGTTATTATTCAAATCTTTTTTCGATATTATTTCATTTATCAAGACGGCGGGACGTCTCGATTTTATCCCAGTCCTGTCCCGACTCTTAACGGGACGGGACGATTTTCGGGACGGGACGAGATACGGGATCAAAATTCAGTCCCGAATTTTTTTTCGGGACAGGACACGGGACAGGAGTGTCCCGGTCCTGTCCCATCCCGTGAACACCTCTACAATAAATAGAACCTCAAGCCTCTTTAACTCATGAGCCCATTTCTCCTCCAAGCTATAGCTCACTTTCATTTTTTAATATAAATACACTAAGAGTTTTAATCATGTGGATAATATGAGACTTTTTCTTTTGACACATCCATACAATAATTACAATAATAAGCTATCACAACCTTTCAAAGATGCAAATCAAGAGTAATCAAGGCCTCAGATGAAGAAAAATTGAAAGCAAATGAGAGATTGATAAATATAGAAATGGATCGAATTAAAGAGAAAAAGAAAGGGGGATGAAGATATGGGGAAGCATGAACGCATAAACAGGGGAAGAGGAACCTGAAAACGGTGAGGCAAGGGACGGGACGCGATGGCGGGCAAAGTGGTAAAGTTCTACTGCGGTGACAAGAAGCTCTACCATTTCTTGCTCTGCTTCCAATGAGGTGTTAGGAATCGACAGCAACTGGAGTCTTTAATGGACGGACAGGATCGTTACTGAATGGCGGTGCCTGTTAGACTTTATGTTCTGTCTGATGACGTGGCAGTTTTGAAGCTCTAGTTCAAGCGAACGGTCACGATTCGCTTGTCTTGCAGAGATGCAGAGGGGATCGAGGTTCCCCCACGCACATTTAGCCTCTTTTTTTGATAAAACTAAAAAAGATAAAAAAATATGTCATAATAATATAGTTTTTGAGCTTATGTCTAGACAAGAGAAATTAAATCTGACATTAACAAAAGAAATCACTCTAATTTATTTTTTTTTTACAATTTTTAACTCCTCATTCCAGTTAATCTGTATCCCGGCACGGGGTAAGCCACTTTTCTTGCCCTTTCTTTCAGCGCATCAAAGAGGACATAATTTTAAAATTATGACTTCATCGCTGAATGAACCAAATAAATTAAAGTTGTGTTCTCCACTGAACAAAGTTGTTATGATGAAACCTTAATTGCATACTCTTCCGGATCATTGTTAATTAATTCACAGTTTATGTAAAAAGTTAGTAGAAACCTTATTTTTCTAAAAATATCTACACATTTTTATTTATGTATATAGTCTTTAGATGTGCACGATTTAAAGACCAGGAATTAAAAAAAATAAGGATATAAATGAGAAAAAAAACATAAAATTTTCCTAATAATTTTTATTTTAGGCCAAGAAGTGTTAATAGAAAGCTACTTATATTGTGGTTCCAAGGAAATATATGATTCAACTTTCTAAGCCAGACAATATGACATCGAGCATTAAAAAATAAAATGGAGATTATATCGCGCGAGGTAACAAACAAGGCATCAAATGAATGCACGCACACGCATTAGGATTAGCCACTAGGTATAGCCGACAGAGACAGTAGTTTGTTTAATCTATAATTAGATTTTCATAATTGTAACACGGTCAAATGAAAGCCCTTATCCCCAGGTGCCCTATTATGCAGGCAGGTTGGGTCAAAGACCAAGATTGACAAAACCCACCCTCTTCTGCTCTTTCTTTTGGTTTTCTTTTACTTTTAATTATTTCCAATCCCGCTTTCAGTTGCTCAGTAACTAATTATTCAAATTAATTAACCCGACGATCGATATATAATCAGCCAATAATTTAATGATCTAATGGGCGGGAAATATATAAGTTTACTTGGAAGTAAGGATGAGAGGAAAAAGTGTGCAGTGAGTACAAGTTTATGAATAGTGGAGCTGGAAGTAAAATAAAGGACCTAGGGTTTTGTTTCAGTTGAAACAAATTCTCCTCGTTGCATGCATGGCGGCAGACAGGCGCAGAACATTTTGCATCTTCCACTCCACGCGACCAAGCACCTTTTTCTCTGTTTCTCGGAACACCATACATTTTTCAACTCTTCATTTCAAGCACCCTTGAACATTGCTGCGTCTCTTTTTATTCTCCCCAAGCTGTATGTCACATTTGTTTACATATATATATATATATATAGAGAGAGAGAGAGAGAGAGAGAGAGAGAAGGTGGCTTTGACCTGCAGGGAGTCGAACCCTTATAAATAAATCTCTCTTCTCTTTTTGCAGGATTTGTCTATTCTGTTGCTGATAGATCAACGACATTCCCTTTGATTGCCAGTGAGCCAATAATGGTGTCTCCAAACTTCATTAACATCCTTCTTATTTTGATTTGCCTTCTTCTAAGATTCTCCACCGGACATTCCCTACAAGGTTTACTTTTTCCCTTTTGACTCTTGCCGCAGTCTTTTTCTCATATCTGTCTTATACTTGTTGTTCTCCTCGTCTAGCTTCAGTAAAGAAGAGCAACATTAGTGCTGCTGTAAAGCTTCAGACAGACGGACGCTCGGTGAAGGAGGAGGAGGTAATTCATATCAGTACTATTTCTGTAAGCATATACTGCATAAATAAAAAACTTAAATTCTGTTATGTTCTTTCAAACTAGTGATTAATCGTGTTAACATATTGGTTTATTTCCCCGTTGTTGATATGACTCGAGCCTGACAATCCATTTTAATTGTAACTAAATTGAACAAGTGATTTTTATTCACTCTCCTGTATAAAGAAAACTGGGGAGTCTCAACGAAACACATGGATTCAAGCCAAGAAATTATTGTTTGGGGGATCTCATTTAATGGATGTTGCCAATACAACTTATCTGATAAAATATTTTCTGAGAGAGTGGATAATGGTGGGGTGTTTTGAACAGCAGATGCAGCAGCAGGAGGTAGCTGGTGAGACGGAGGGTAGAAGAGTGTCAGAGGCAAAGAGATGTGAGCGTTGCATAGAAAGTTGTGAACGTAATGGAGGACAGGGATGCGCGGAGCGCAAATTCAGTAAACGAAGTCGTCACTCTATGCGCTTCAAGATGTCTGGTTTTGTTTCTTGGAATGCTGACTATCACGTTCCAAGGCCTCATCCGCCCAGGAATAACTGATCCAGGACACTTTAATTCCTCGCATTTGTAGTTTCTTTGTATTTATTTATTTATTCTCAATTAATTTCCGTCTCCGCATCAATTTTGTAATGTTTTAGATGAATGGTGGGATGTCAAATATATACCACGATATGTAACAAGCACGGGTGTTATGAGACTTAAGATGTTAATTACACTACTAAAAAAATATATATTAGTGAGAGAATTTAGTGAGTGATCGACTATTCCTCTTTAAAATACTAAATTAGCAAGGAAATTAGTGAGGAATGTTGATTTCGTAGCTTGACTTAAAATTAGCGAAGAAATTAGCGACAAACTATCAATCCCTCTATAAAATAAGAGAATTAGTGAGGAAAATAGTGAGGAACTACCAATCCTTTTTTAAAATAAGATAATTAGAGAATAAAATAGTGAGAAACTATCAATCACTCTCTAAAATAAAAGAATTGGCGAGGAAAATAGTGAGGGATTACCAATCCCTTTCTAAAATAAGAGAATTAGCAAGAAAAATAGTGAGAGATTGCCAATCCCTCTCTAAAATAAGATAATTGACGAAGGATTCTATTTCCAGCTAATCACTGCAAAAAAAATAACTTTTGACAATGACTTTTAGTTATATATTTAATTATTTTTATTTAAAAATAATAATTAAATTTAAAAATTAAATAAAATATTTATAATAAAATTATTTAGTATTTTCTTTATTTTAAGTTGATTTTCATTAATAAAATAATATTTTATTAAAAATATAATATAAAGAATAATTTAAATAAAGTATAAATATTTTTTAACATATTAATAATTGAAAATAAAATTTAATATGTATATGTGTGTATTTTTATAATATATTATTTAATATATTTATATAATTAAATAATATATATACACATATTTAATTTCTCATATAATGAATACAGGTGCCTTTCAGTTCAATTGACAAAGAAAGAAAGTATAAGGCTTGGGAGATATGAGGTCAAGAGTTCAAGTTTTGACTTTGACATAAACATGATGAATGTATAATATGATAAGGTGGAAGTGACATGATGCAAGGTGGACAATGATGTGTCATAAGTTGTCACACATGTGGCGGGTGATGAGGCGCGAGATGGTAGGTGACATAGTGGTTGACAAAGCACAGGGTTGTTGGTGATATGACGTGTCATAAGTTGTCGCACATGTAGTGGGTGATGAGGCGCGAGATAGTAGGTAGACATTGTGATTGACAAAGCATAAGGTTGTTGGTAATATGTCATAAGTTAATTAAATATATGCATATTTAACGAGAGATTAGTAAGAGATTAATTCCTCACTAAAGTTATCAAATTTTAAATAGTATTAGAAAGAAATTAACGAAAAATTCAATCCCTAACTAATTTTATCGAGGGACTGAATCCCTCGTCAATTAGCGAGGGAAATACAATCCTTACTAAATTTAACGAGCTTTTCTTTAATTATAAATTTAGTGAAGGATAAAATTTTTTTCTAAAATATAATTTAATTATAAAAAATAATATTTAATGAGAAATTTGTTTCTTACGAAATTTTATTTTTCTTGTAGTGTTACTTCATAGGTTCCACGCAACACGTACCTGTAGAAGCTGGAAGTCGAAGTTACCTTTGGATGAATTATGTTTCTTTTTGTAAAGAAGGGTAGTTGTTTTGCCGTTTTCTTCTCTTATCGGGAAAAGAGAAGAAAGAAACCGGAAGGAGGTTACGTGTAGGGTCCTCATCTACATTAAATTGTAGATTTTAGTAATTGGTTTCTATTTTTGCCGGATCTCATATTGAGAAAATTATACAGCCTTGAATTATATCCTATGATCCATTCCCTTTCAATGCATCTATCCATGCTCATTAATCTCATTTTTCATTTAATTATCCATTTACTGGTTGCTATATATTTATATTATAATGTTTGTGAAAACAAGATCTTAATGCTCATTTATGATAGCAATTAAATGAATATGTATTTAGTTTAATACCACAGTCAACAATCTACTTAACTCGTTAAGCCAAGTCAAGAATTAAAACGATGGACGAAATCAAATATGAAGTGATTAAGGGCTATACAATATATCCAGAAATCCACAATACCCAACCTGACCTAAAACATTACACCCAAACCTAGCCCCAAAAAAGCAGTCTGAAGATGAATGGGCATGATTGGGCTCAGCCCAATTGGTCCTACTTGACTCAAGAGTCAAGGTAATATATAAATTTATTTATTTATTTTAGTAATACAATGTGGTTTTGACTTTTAAAAATGAGTGAGGGCATAAATGAAATATTAAAATAATGTTAGCTAGGAAGCATAACGAAACCCTAACTTAAACACTCTTACTCACACACACTCTATGGCTCTCAAGCCTCACCTCGCACTTGCTGCAGTTGTCTCCCATTCGCCACCCTCCTCTTCTTAAGGCCTTACTTTGTCTCGACATCTCCCTGTATCTTGTAGTGCCACCACATCTTCCATCGTCAGCAAGGGGTTACTCTCCCTCCATCTCGGCATCTACCTTCGTCTCAGCACCTCCCTTTATATCGCTTGTCACAAGAGCTTCAGAGGTTGGGGTTAGTCTCTTAAGAAGCTTGGGTAAGTAATCTCCAGATCTTTATGACTTTCTCACTTCTTTCACTCTTGCAAATCAAAATGGTGGATGGTGTTATCGTCATAGGATCTTATGCCTCTGTTCATCTTCTCTTCTTCAAAGTCATTTTTAGCACTTTATGCTTTCAAATTTGGTTAGTTCTTCGAAAACAAATGACCAAAAAACGAATAGACTTAAACATCCAGCCCGACATGCTTGACCTTTGCTCAATCCTTCCCGCCTGATCCATCCATGAAAGGGCACCTTTCGGGTAAAATATGTGATATCCTTAAATTTTAAACTTGAAATTTAAAGTATAGATATGAGTAATTTGGTAAATCTAAGTAAGTATTGAATTAATGGTATTTTTGAATTACTAATAAAGTTATTGGGTCATTGAGCAGCTTTGAAAGTGAATTAAGATGGAATTCAGGTCAACCGTGCCTATGTGCAAAGCCAAAATTTGAGCTAGCTTTATTGTGCCATCCATCGCCACAGAGGCTTAATGCATTGTAGCAGACGAGACAGACTTTTGATAAATCTATCATGAGCTTCAATTAAGAATTAAAAAGAGAAGGGAGAAAAACACAAGAGGCAATAGAAAAAAAGCTTAGATAAGGTACTTTATCTTTTAAGCATTTGGGAGGCATTCAGTAGCAACACGTTAGAGTAAGCTACCTGTCTACTCTTTTTCCTCTCCATTTAAAATTTTGGAAGTTTTTGGTATGGTGGGTTATGAATTTTGTCCTCCCTTGGGATATATTTTTTTGGCTGAAATGTCAATGCTATGCTATTTCAAGGAGTTTGTCAACGGCTAATTAGTCCAAGGAAAAATTACATTGAAAGACCTATGAGGATTTTTAATTACAAAAAAAGACCAAAACATTATGACAAAAAGAACGACAGGAAAAAGATTAAAATAACCCTTTTGAATTTCATATAGTAGAAATATTGTCCTAACAAATATGCATGTATGAAAAATAACAAGTGACAAGAATAATTCATAACATTCTAACAAGTACGGTAATAAAAAATAGCCAGTAAATATATTATTTTGACAAGCTTACATATAAAAATAATAAGTAATCGACTAACTAACCATGACTTCTTATAGCATGAGTGTTAAAAAATATAATGTTTTAATAAGCATGATAGTGAGAACCAGAAAATGGGTTATTTTCTTTGCAATGTTATTCACAAATAATGACTTTGGGACTTGAAACTAATTTTAGCAGTTGGTGGGATTTTATGATAATTATAATTGTTGTAAGGGATTTTCGAACGATTTTCCTTTTTTTTTTTTTATAAATTTGTTTTCATAATGATTAAGAGTTTCCAGCTGGCATTCAATGCAATGTCCAGTAATTAAACTACTTTTGGACACTAATCACGAAAAGTTAAAAAGTTAAACGAAAGCAGAAGCAGATAGGCGCGGGACGAAGCACCTGAAGCTGTCACCAGAACTTCCTTCCTCCCTGATTGCATCGAGCGCCTCTGCCCGCAGCTTCAGCGCCTTGCCTGTTTCTACAGTACCGCTCTCACTCACCGACTCCGCCAGCACCCTCGCTAAGTCCTCCGAGTTACTCACCGAGTTGGCGCCCTCCCCCGCTCTCATCGCCACTTTCAACTCATTTACCAGTAGCGTCGCGTTCGCGAACTGGTCGGCGCTCATCGGCCACGCCAGTATCGGCACTCCCGCCACCACCGCTTCCACCACCGAGTTCCACCCACAGTGACTCAGGAACGCCCCCACCGCCCGATGCTGCAGTATCACCACTTGCGGGGCCCACCCTCTTATCACCAAGCCTCTCCCAGCCGTACGATCTTCGAACCCAGACGGAACCTTCCCCCAATCTCACGGACCAAATAAAACGCACCCCACTCTTTCTATCGCCGACGCAATGCCCTCCATCTGATTTCCACTCAGAAAAGCTTAACTGCCGAAGCACACGTACACACCTGACGATCTTCGTGACCGTGGAGCCAGGATACGATGTCGTCCGCCGAGATAGAGCTCGACCACTTCGCCGAGCGATCGTGTGACGCGGCGTAAGTAAGGGCCCCCACCTCCCACACGCGACCATGACCGAGATAATTGCGAAGAAAATCTAAATGATTCCTCTCTAACGAAAGAGAGAAAGTGTTCACGATAAGTCCCCAGCTCTGTATATTACACAGAAACCCATCCCTCAAATGCTCGGACTCAGCATCTCCATCGACGTAACTACGGTACAACGGAGACACCTGCCACCAGGGATAGGTCGAGGAACCGGGGAGCTTATGGAAGCAAAGGAGCTCGAAGTCATCGTGGAGGTTGTTCCTCATGGGTTTTTCTCTCCAGAGGTAGTACGTGGCAGAGAGAGCAAAAGCACCGGAAAGGAGAGAAGACGAGGCGGCGAATACCCAAGTGAGAGGCGAGGGGATGAGTCCAGCTGCAGAAGGATGTGGGAGATGATGAAGCGAGGAGGGTCGGGGTGGGAGCGGAACCAGTGGAGGAGAGGGTGGTAGAGGTTGGAGAGAGACAGGATGAAGGATCGGGTGGAGGGAGGGTGAGAAGGAAGAGGGAGGAGGAGGGTGTGGACAGAAGGGTGAGAAGAGACGAGGGACGAAGGGAGGGAAGGAGGGAGCGGTGCGAGGATCAGTGGCTAAGATGGTAACGGTGGAGGCAGCGGTGGAGGCGATGCGGGGTCAGGTCGAGGAGGCGGATCGTGGCCTCTGATGGAAACGGAACTATCAGCACGTGCGTTGGCCCTCTGATGGTCGCGACGGTCGCCATGATCGGATGGAGTTTGGTGTGTTTGACAAAATGACGTACGTTACGAGGTTACTGCGTTGGAGTCGGAAAGCTCTGACGACATTTAGTGGATTAAGTGTATGTTGGATTGAATTTTAATTTAAATTAGGATAATTTTAATTCAATTGAAATGTTAAAGTTTGATTTATCAATAATAAAAAAAATAATTATAATTAAGATTCAAATCAGCATTTTTAACAAAGCTCATTTATCGAGCTTTTCATCAACGATGCGTTCGTATATATGACTGTTGAGAGCTTAAATGCTTTTTAAATTTTTATTCTCTCTCTTCTTTATATGCGTTCGTATATATGACTGTTCCCATGGTTGCTTTAGCTTGCCCTTCATTTCCCAAGTCTACCGAATCTGATGAGAGATCACAGTCGGGTGCACCGACACTCGATCTCCACCGTGTGTGTTGCTCACACTAAGTTGTAGTGCTGTTGCTCATTCCCCTTCATCCAGAGCGTCACTATTTCAAAGTGTGGCTCCCGGCCTCCACTTCCCTTGTCGAAATGAAACATAAAAGATCTTGAAAGCTCCTGATGAAAGGACAAAGCTAACACATGCTGGAAGATGAGGTTGCGGGAATAATGAAATGAAAATGGAATGGGAAGAGGGCTGGGTCCCGCCATTTTTCCACGTCTTCTCCTTCTTCTTAAATTTCTTTTTTTTTATATATATAATCCGATATAATTTAAAAAATAATATTATTTCATGATTTTATAAATAATTAAATCATCTTTTCATAATTGTTATCATTTTTTAATGCTCTCATAAGATTCAAAGGAGTAAACTTCGCTTGTAAACCATAACTTTCAATGTTTAAATGATTAAAAATCTTTTAGTAAAAAAATAAAATATTTTGTAATTCTGCTTGACCTTATTACAATTACTACTACCCAGTTATTTTTTAAAAAAAATCATGACTAGGTACTATATATTTAAAACTTAACTTATTTTGGCAAATGCTCTTTTAAATAATTATTTGATAAAATTTTAATTATCATAAAATAATTTCATGAAATCAATTTGCAGATCATATCAATTAAATATTTTTTAATTATAAATTTATTTAGCTTTTCATTCTTAAATATTTAATATTTTGTACTTATAATTATAATTTTAATTTTATTATTTTAAATTATTAATTAATAAAAAAAATACATACAAAAAAATTTATGTTTATTTTTGTCACAAATATATCAATTGATTTGAATCAAAGTATCTAAACAAATTCTATTCATCTAATTGACCTTTTCAAAAAAGTTATCCAAACATAAACTCACATTACATTAACTAATTTTTTTTTAATTTCAGTTTGCTAACCTCAATTGAATCCTAAACTCAGTTATAAATTTTTTAAATCCAACACACATCCTGAGAGATCTGAAGGTATGTTTGCTTTGGGTGGCAGGCCTCCCTTATTTCTATGCTTATCTAGAGGATGAGCACCTTGAAATAAAATTTAAACCATTTAAATTAAATTAAAATTGTATATAAATATTTTGTTTTTTATAGTCCTTGAAATGTGAAGAATAAATCTGAATAATCAATATAAATCATTATAAAAATTTTATATTAAATTAGATTCTCTAAATTAAATTTAGATCAATTTAAAATAAAAACTTATTAAAATATTTATAATTTATTTTAATAAATATAATATATAATAATATATAATATTTTAAATTTGGATTATTCAGATTTTTGGTAAGATCTTAGGATGAGCAGGAAAACTCATCCCCCCATTTTAGCTCATAAAATAGAAAGGAGGGGAGGAAAATTTTTTCCCTTTTCACCCCTTACAAACTCTCCCCTCCAAATAGGAGAATGAAGAGGAGAGGAGTATAATTTTATTACATTTGAACTAATATATTCTCATTATAATATGATAATAAAAGAAATGTTCCTTTCTTTTGTTTCTATGTATCCCTCTTGTTGAGTTATGCTTTTTCTCCTAACGTGTGTTGCCATTGTTGCTCCCTCAGTCTAGGTCAACGTTCATGTTGGAAATCAGATTTTTCTGCTAAGGCTCCCTCCTTTCATTTTATTTTTCTACTTTTATTATATGTTTATAAACTTCCGCTGCTCATATATTTATTTTATAAACTGTGAATAAATTATTATTAAATATAATTATAATATATATAAATATAAATTATATGGTTATAATTATACATTAAAAACATTCATAGCTATAGTTTAATAGAAAAAATAATTTTACTAAGATAAGGACAGAATTATCTATATATATATACATATATATTTTCCTCCTCTTGAATCAAATAAGATATCATTTTTTTTAATTAAAATTTCTTTTCTTAAATTAGACAGACCCTGAAGCAAGCCCGCTCCTTTCACTTTGGTAAATGCATATAATATAATAATATGACTATTCGTCAATCTTTTTTCCGTGTTTGTCACATTTACATTCTCCCCCTCCATGCATAGTAACATGGAAATAGAAACGAAGACAGAAATCGGAAATCTTGGGGTAAAAAGGGACGCAACTATTCAATTTGCTCGTTATCCCAAAAAAAAAAAAAAAAAAAACAGCAACTTTTTATGACGATAGGCTCTTGTGATGGCGCTAATAGAAAAATATTTAGATAAATTGTGTGATTTACGTTATTTATGATCTGTTTAATTAAAATATTTTAAATAATTTAAATAAAATTTTATATAATATTTTTAAATTTATTTTATTTTGATAACATAATACATATTTTTCTTTCTATTATCATTAATATCAGAATTCATTTATATTCAATGCAATTAAAACGTTATATTTTTATTAGATATATCACAAATTAGGTGGTGCACTCGATCTACTTAAATATTTTTTATTTAATAATAAATTAATTAATTGCAGGGATTCTTGGGGATGAGTTTAATTTGGAATATTTAATTTCCATTCAATGTGAAAGTATTCTTTTAATATTTTTTATTATTGTAAATAATAATTTTTATTTTAAGTACATACTAGTATTTTTTTTAAAATATATTTAATATCTACTCACGCTGTTACTTAAAATACAGAGAGAGAATACAGGGAGAGAATTTTCTTTTCCTTACATAAGTTACATTGTTAAATCTTTACCATAATTTTTCTGTTACCCTCCAACATTCAATATTGGTAAGATAAAATATTAAATATATTATTAAAATATAAAAGTGTGTGCGCGTGTGCGTGCGTGCGTGCGTGTGTGTATTTAATACGGTCTGAGTGTTATTGAATTTTTACATTAAGTTAATGAGTTTTGGGAGTTTCTCTGCGTCCAATAAAATTGGTTGAAATTAAAGTGACTTAGCATTGAAGAAGTAAGGGAATAATGCTTACTCATGCATGTACGCTAATTCTAATTCTGGTCAGCTATTTACATTTCTCTTTATTCTTTGCTCATTTCTCCTCGCCTTTAAAATAATTACTTTTTCCTAATCAATTCGTGGCATAAATAATAATTTTTTAACGTATCCGTTGTTCGTCTTGCAAATAAGTTACCATCAAGATTTTTAAATTTCCATTTGATGGAATAGCTCTATTTAAAGAGAAACAATTAATGGTGCAAAATTAGAACAATATATATGAACATAAACCCTTGTATACCGCCATCTGAATATTAGCTCTATGTACTTTTGATTAATATTCATTATTCGGTTTATGTCCGCGAGAGAGTGGTTCTGATTTACGCAGAATATGAACAAGTTTTGTGTGGATGGGTCTTTGGGGAGCAAATAAAAGCGGCAAAAATAATTGTAAGATGTTCTCTCTTGGAATATAATTTGCTTATTCAATGATTTCTCATTCACTCAAATAGCTCTCAAGTCCTCTGCAAAACTGACTGAAGAAAACGTTCAGCAAAATACTTTTTTAATGTTTTGTTTCTTCAAGAGACTGTAATTTATCTTCAACATTTTGACATGTTCTTAAAATTAAAGAAGTCGTTCGGAAATTTTTTTTGCAGCATATCTTCCATTATTCCTCAGGAGTCTGCAATATATATCTTCAATTTCTCACGTAAGCATTCGGGAAAGATGCAATATGAGCTTCCTTGGATTGGATCATATTCTCTCACACTTGGCTAAGTACACGACGAAATATTGCCCCCCCCCCCCCCCTTTTTTTAAAGTACAAGGTTATGAAAAATCGTGCAAAGAGATGAAAGGAATCACGTCATGTTAGATTAATTCATAAAATTTCTACACCCTAGAAGCAAATAAAAGAAAATCGTAAGAATGTAGTTGTCACTTAATGCCTAGTGAGTAGGTACATTCGCATACCTATTTATTTTTTTAAACATATGGTCAAAAATGATTGTACAATTGCTCATGACAAAATCTTTGACTTTTTTTTTTTAAGGGATAAGTTTTGAGTGGGGGTGTTTATTGGAGAAATTGTGCTATAGATAAGTGATAGGGCTTTTATGGAGTTAAAGTAGACATTGATTTTGATGAGTTTAGTGTTCTAACAGTGATTAAGACCTTTTAAGATATCTAAATTTTTGCTATTACATTAGAGTGATGATTGGAGTACTTGAAGAACCTTTTAATCTAATTCTCTTTATCATTCACATATGATACCACCATAAGCAGCAATGCTATTGATACTAATCAAATTATTAATATTAAGTTTGATCCATCCTTCATCTAGGGGGTTTTATTTAGCTTCAGATCTAATGCCACCCTTCTTCAAGTGAATAAGACTAGATTGAAATTTGAAGCCATTGATTATAATTTATTGCGAATGCAATATCGAAATCGTGGCTGCCTTCTCTCGAGTAGATCTTTTGGTATTTCGTTTTCCAAATGTTTTAGCTGTCGTGAGCAAAAAATCTTTATCAAAGCATTGTTCTTGTATTTGAGCTTCCAGCTTCATTTTCAGTATTTAAAGTTATCCAATCTTGCAAAGAAAAAGAAAAAAAATATTAAGTTTAAAAAGTTCAACTAATTTTTTTCAAATATTCCAAGCTTTTATAGTC